AGTCATAAGTTTCAAGAATGCATATTCTTTTGTCTACTACTGTACCATTTTAATAAATCCTATATTTTTCTTTTTTAGATATTTCCAAACAAGTTTAAACTATGATATCTATCCATGATATTTTAAACTGAAAATTGAACAATGTTCGGTGCTCATACAACAAAATGTCCATCTGTGTTCAATGGCGCATTTGAAAATTGGTTATTAGCTGAATATATCATTATAACTATTTATTTTGTCATATTTATTCTTGGACTCATTGGTAATATATGCACAATCCTAATTNTGGCTTATTGTAAAAACAAGCTAGCTTATTTTGACAATAACCACCTGTCACATGTAGACGAAAGGAAAAAACTGGACAATGACATATACATACAGCTAAACCTATTCACATTTTGTCATATTTATTCTTGGACTCATTGGTAATATATGCACAATCCTAATTATTCAACGTACTCGTTCAATGCGTACACCAACAAATTATTATTTATTGAATTTGGCCTTATCTGATTTGATGATATTGATTTGTAATTTACCATTAGAAATACTTGAAATTCATTTTAAAGAATGGATATTTTCAAAACTTTTTTGTAAACTACGAAATATATCTGCTGAATTTTTTACATGTTCATCAATTTTGACAATATTGGCATTTTCATGTGAAAGATATTTTGCCATTATGCATCCAATGAAATTTCATCAATTAAGCCATTTTCGTCGTGCTATTCATATTATTGTCATAATATGGTTCATTTCATTAGCTGTCAGTTTACCGGTGGGACTTTCATTTGATGTTGTTGATATCAAAATGATTTTTAATAAGGCAACAAATAGTACAAGAAATAGTTTTAATAATAATTATACAAATATTCAACCTTTAATTTGTAAATCTTGTGTGACGCCAGGAGAGTACAAAAAAATATTTCAATATATTGTTATTGCTGCTTCATTTGGATTTTTTTATATACCAATGCTTATTATCGGAACAATCTATTTGTTAATTGGAAGAGAATTAAGACGAGCCAATAAACAAGAATCAATTCAACAACAACAGCAAACATTTGTATTGAGAAAGAGTACATCATCTATTAATAATAATAATAATAATACTCAAAATGAGAAAAATAATGGCAGTAGTCCAACAAATAAGGACATAAATACTCCTAGTCATAAGAGTTCAATCACTTCGACATATTCTGGTGGTAACGTAAATACACACCCAATGGTTAAACTCAGTGCAAGAAGACATGCAAGAAAAGTTATTTTTAAAATGTTGGGTAAGATTAATCTTTATTTTACTTTACAAAATAAAAAGATTTTAGAAGTGTTTCCATTTCTAAAGCTTTTTAGACTACGTAAAACGTCTTTTTCTTTTTAGTGAATACTATCCTTTCCTAATCTAATCGATTTTTTATTCTTTTTGTTTTAGTTGCTGTTGTTATTGCATTTTTTGTTTGTTATGCCCCATTTTATTTTCAACGTTTAGTAACATCTATCGGCAATCATAACGCTACTTCATCATTTCATCGCACATCATTGACAATTTTATTCATTACATCTGGTCTAACATTCTATTTGGGTAGCATTATTAATCCATTTCTCTACAACGTTGTATCAAATAAATATCGGCAAGCATTTTTAAATTTATTTTTTTGTCATTCAAAAAATAGAACAAATTTTGATCAATTGAATGGTATTGGCGGTATAATTGCTCGTAAAAGAAAAGACGATAGTTTAAAACTGCAAAAGAGAAATGGTAGTAGATCAAAAAAATTACTTCACCCACCTTTTGAACAATATCCACAACAACAACAACAACAGTCTCTCAATCGTAACCTACCATCAGAACAAAATAAGAAAAAATCGATGAATCTTCATTTTGTATTTCAACAAGCCACACATCTAGCGTCAGCATCATCACCAAAAAAGCAACCGTTTAATACATCATCTTCCTCATCTTCATTGTACAGTTATCGAAGTTATAGAATGGCCCTTAAAACCAATGATGTTAATAAATCATTACCTGTATCAAAGAGAACAATTTTAAACTCAAAATTTGATACGCCCAAATTGTCAAAAAAATCTAATCCTGTAGAAATATGATCAGATGAAAATTATCATTGAATACTAGACCCAAAAAAAATCATCATCGTTTAATAAACAATATTCCTGTCCAGTTCAAAGTTAAAATTATTTAAGAATAAAAAAAGTATAGATCTGCTGTAAAAAAACATAATTTATTAATTAGACTTTAGAAAAGAATAACTTAATAAAAATACAATCTTTCGATTTCATACAGAAATCATCCTCAGACATTATAACAAACGTGAACACGCTTAGCTATATGTCATTGTCCAGTTTTCTTTCATTTTTTTCTTCTTTTTCCTTTCTTTTACAGGTGATTTGTTAAAATAAGCTTATTTTGACAATACGTACTTTAGCACTTAATACACTGTCACTTGAAATTTTCATCCAAATATTTTGATTGAATGTTTTGTATCATTGAAAGATAATCCAAATGTCTCATGATTGAACAGACTTTCTTTTATCACTCGTCGTCTCCAGTTTCCTTCAAAATTAAGTGCCTTTACATTATCAAAATCCAGAGTGTGAGAGTTTCCATTGGCATGCTGAGCAAGTTTTGAATGTTGATCCCAGTTCCGAATTTTCGTCTGGTGCTCTTGTATTCGAATATCTTTTTTACGTGCACTTTTGTCAATATACACAAGATCAAGTGGCTTATTGTAAAAACAAGCTAGCTTATTTTGACAATAACCACCTGTCACATGTAGACGAAAGGAAAAAACTGGACAATGACATATACATACAGCTAAACCTATTCACATTTGTTATAATGCATGAAGATGATTGATTTCTGTATGAAATCAAAATCTTGCAGTTTTATTACGTTATTCTTTGTTAAAGTTTAATTAATAAACTTTTTTTTACAGCAGATCTATACTTTTTTTATTCTTATTTATTTCGATCTGCTTTACCAGTTAGTTACTTAAAATTATTTATTTTTTGTTACTATTCTGTTTATTTTTATTAATTTTTAATCTTCAACTAGTCGAATTGTGCAATAATAATAAATATGTTCATTGTTATAATGAAACTGTTTCAATTATAAAATAGATATGAGAAAGTTAATTAGGTTAATTACCAGAATTTATTTGAATTGATGATAGACAACTAAACTCATATTAAAATTAGAAACAAAAGAGACACTTTTAAGCTATTACGCTATAATTAAAAATTGTTTCGAATGACTACTATCCATACCAAAATACAGTGCAGGGTGCCACTTTTTGAATAACTTTTGATA